AATTTTATTAATTAGGTCAATATCCAAATATATATTGCTTGTGACCAATTTATAATTGGTTATAAATAATTATTAAAATGGTTATAAATAATTATTAAATGAATAATAGAAATTATTAATTGGAACTAACTAATTATTAAACATGTCATAGCTAATTTTATTAATTGGATCTTAACTGGTATGGAGCGCCATAATGGACAAAAGTCTAATTATTAATTTTATTAATTAGGTCAATATCCAAATATATATTGCTTGTGACCAATTTATAATTGGTTATAAATAATTATTAAATGGTTATAAATAATTATTAAATGAATAATAGAAATTATTAATTAGAACTAACTAATTATTAAACATGTCATAGTTGATTTATTAATTGGATCTTAACTAATTATTAATTAGAGGTTTTAACTAATTATTAATTGGATCTTAACTGGATCTTAACTAATTATTAACTGGATCTTAATGGCACATCATCTCATTTGTATAAAAAAAGAAAATGTCACCTTGCTATTTTAATTTAACATATGTCATGGAAAGTTTTTTTATAACAAAATTGTTCCATTAAAGAATACCTTTCATATTGAAATGCCCTCTCTATATAAATCCATGGTTATTCAAAAATGGCATATTTTTTGCTTCAAAGCTAAGATTATTATTTTTCAATGTTGCTTTAAATGATTTGATAATGGCTTATAAGGTGTAAAATACTAAACTTTTATATGGTCATTACTTTTTGGTTAATAAGTTTTAGTGAGATCCACAAAAAATGATTTTATAGAATTTAAAATTCATGTCAAGAATTTTATGTAGATTGAATTCAGCAAAAAAAGAAGAAATTAGAAGAACCAAGTTTACAACCTATTATTTATGAAAGTAATAGATATTATAGGAAAAATGTACAACTATATCATAAAATAATTATTTGCTTATTAAAAGGTATTATTTGTTTCAATTCATCTAGGAGAGAATGTATGAGAATGTAATTATTATTTATTTCAATTCATCTAGGAGAGGATATAATTATTAAAAGAAATTATTTACCTCAATTCATAATAATGACTAATATGTAAATTTTGAGTTAAAATCATATCAATTGACCAGAAGATGAAATTATCTCAAGATTGCAGGTACTGATGGTACTACTGCATACTATTAAAAAGTATGTATAATTATATTAATTATTTTTTTTTCTTTTTCCAAAGGTCAATGGTTAAATGAGCTGACAAAATTTATTGTTAGAAAATAGAAATTATTCATATTAGATAGAAAATTAATGTCAAAATAGTTGATATTCCTGTAATAAAAATACTACTACTGATGTACTTTTAATAATAAATTATTAAAGGATATGTATGCAACATTGCATCAACTATCAATTATTGATTGCTTTTTTATTTTTTAAAGAAAAAAATGGATCAATCTGGTGTAGATAAATAAGAATTACTATGCAATGATTAAATCAGTTGTTATTATTATAACCTTTCAATGGATAATGTAATGACAAAATTATTTTCTGGTAATTCTGGTGCAGACTAATTGATAATTTTCCAACAATGTTAAAACATGCATTTTAAAATAAAAATTTTCTAGAAATATCTTTTCTTATTTAATTGGTGACTATTATTATTCTTTCATTGTTGTTTTAAATCATAAAAGATTAATAGAAAAGTAAACAAAATATGTTGTTTATTTTTTTAAAAAAGTCTGCCATATGATAGTGTGCTGTAATGGACAAAAGTATATTTAATAATTAGTTAAAATCCAATTAATAATTAGCCAAGACTATGTAAAAATCCTGTTTAATAATTAGTTAAGTTCCATTTAATAATTATTTATAACCATTTAATAACCATTTAATAATTATTTATAACCATTTAATGATTATTTATAACCAATTATAAATTATTTACAAGCAATATATAATTAGATATTGACCTAATTAATAATTGGACTTTTGTCCATTATGGCGTGTCAAAGACTCCAGTATCAATGTTTTGGCGTGACAAAATTTGCCCATATAAAGAAATTTATTTCACTAATTTAAAATTTTTTTCTTGCAAAAAAAAAATATATAATTCCTTTTTGGGAAGAACTAAAGGAAATGTCACCCAATTCAAAATACTTGGTGATGTTAAATTCGCCATGTTAAAAGTAGTTGGCACAATAACCTTATCATAACACCATGGTATTTTGAGGCACATGGCCAATCATGGCATCTTTCCTAAGCATCTATCTAATTAATTGATGGATGTTAATAATCATTAATTTTTTCTTCGTTTATTTACAAAGTGTTAAAGTTTATATATAGATAAGGTCTGTCTAAATGTATATGAAGTAAACATAGTGATGGTTCCAAAAAACTCTTCTTTTTTGAAAGCAGGTTGTGATTGCGATTGTTTATCAATGGTCCCAAAAGAAGAGTTTGCAAAATTACACGGATTCTTTCAAGCTCTTTCTCAACTTGTACAAGACAACCTTTTAATGGCTCAGATCATGGTAATGGATGATGATTAGGTAGTAAATATGAACAGACTTCTCAAAAAGAAAGCTTGCGTCAATAAAAGAACTGAAATCACAATATTTTAATGTGCCAAAAATTTGCAGAGCTTGCTTTGAAAATATCAGAGCCATCTGATAAATAATCAAGTGTTCATGGTAATATTAAAGAATGTCTTCTGCACATTATCTATTCTACTGGTGTTAGGAATTGCTATTTGTTAACTTGTTAGAATTGTTTATAAACTATATTGGGTTGTGAAAATATTCAAGCCACAAACTTGTTAATGGTCCGCCGATCAACGAGATCACGAATTAAACTAAAATCACCTGATTTCTGTCAGTGCCCTAAGGACTTGATTTTTCCATAAATCAATACATAATCGTTTACAAAATTTGCATTTTAAATTTAATTCTTGAAGGTGCTCTGGAATAACTATATGGGTCTTTGTAATATTGAAGACAATCCAATTTTTCATAATTCTTTCTTGAGTTGATATCTTGCTTGCTGCCTGACAAAAATTATTGAATCTCTCCTCTATGAAAGAATTCGAACATTACTTTTATCAATAAAAACTAACATTACTAATAGTATTAACAACTAATATTAATCTAAATAGATCAGAGATTCCTTTAATGATTCATATCCATTATAAAAAAATAAAAATAAAAAAGTAATATTGCATTCAGAATTGATTCGCAGAAATTTGTAAGTAAAATATGTTTGAAGTGTCGCATCCAAGACACCTTGTGCATTCGACTTTTTCTTCTATTTCTTCAAATTCATGAGTAACTATCTTGTTTAGTTCAACCTTCTGGATATCATGGTTCTTGATCTTATAACTGGAGAAAAAAAACCGTGTTCATTATGAGTCAATTTTTTATTCAAATCATGAAGCAAGCATTTGTTGTCTTAGGAAAAGGCCAGAAAAGCCCACACGAAGAAGCTTGTATAGTGATAAAGCCTGGCGTGGACCGTAATGGTCAGTGGGCTTCAGAAGATCTTGTTGAACAGGTAATATAGTTGAACCTATTTAAAATTAATTAATTTGAATGTTGTAAAAAACTTATTTTAAAAAATCATATCTATAGATTCAAAATAAAGCCATACCTACGTTTCCCAGGTGCAATTGGATTTGTGCATTTTGATAACGCAACCAGCAAGCAATTTATGTTTGCTGGTGATGATTTAATGACTGCTCAAATGAACCTCAGACTTGGTGGTTGTAATAAATACACCTTTAAATATGGTATTTTACCTAGTGGAAAGCCTCAAAAAATGCATCTTATAACTGGAGAAAAAAAACCGTGTTCATTATGAGTCAATTTTTTATTCAAATCATGAAGCAAGCATTTGTTGTCTTAGGAAAAGGCCAGAAAAGCCCACACGAAGAAGCTTGTATAGTGATAAAGCCTGGCGTGGACCGTAATGGTCAGTGGGCTTCAGAAGATCTTGTTGAACAGGTAATATAGTTGAACCTATTTAAAATTAATTAATTTGAATGTTGTAAAAAACTTATTTTAAAAAATCATATCTATAGATTCAAAATAAAGCCATACCTACGTTTCCCAGGTGCAATTGGATTTGTGCATTTTGATAACGCAACCAGCAAGCAATTTATGTTTGCTGGTGATGATTTAATGACTGCTCAAATGAACCTCAGACTTGGTGGTTGTAATAAATACACCTTTAAATATGGTATTTTACCTAGTGGAAAGCCTCAAAAAATGCACCTAGAAGATGAAAGGCAGAAAGGAATTGAGAAGATTATGGAGAATGTAACCTTTGGTCAATTGATAAAAGGCTTATTCGCCTATGTAAGGATTGTCAAAAGCATTCTTTGACAAGAGAAGATTGTTGTGCTGTTCGAATTCTTTCTTTGCAACCTGATTTTGCTCTCAGTTTCCTTTGATATAAGAGATTATTGAAGACCATGGATGTAAAGTAATTTTTTTCCCTAAACTTCATTGTGAGTTCAATTTTATTGAATATTTTGGGGAGTAGCAAAAAAATACACAAGCTTGTGATAATTCTTTAAAGGTTTAGAAAAAAACTAAAATCTTAGTTTTAAGTTTCAAATGTTCAGAATATAACATCTTGTATTAGTGAGGGTAAATATAATGTACAGTTGATAAACCTTGTTTATTTCGATGAGATAAACTCATAATAAATGAAAGTACTTAGATAAAGGCATTAATGGATGTTTTTTATGAACTAAATCCTTAATTTTAATTAATCAATAAAAACAATAATGATTAAGTTGATATGTAAAAAAAAAATTTTTAATAGTCATAAATTGAAAAATAGTTGAATTCTTTCTTTCCCCTAAAACATATTTTATCAATTGTACAAATAAATATACTCATTTAAATTGAGATTGAGAGTGAATGGTAATATAAACAGACAGAAACAGACATTTACTTTAACTCCACTTGATTATTTAAAATAAACTACATTTGAGGGCTTTCAAATTTTGTCTCCACCAATATTACCATTATTACTTCATCATCATCATCAAAATATTTATATCATTTAAATTGATTTTATCAACCGATTTCATAAACCTTGTTCATTTGTCACATCATCTACCAATTTTTCCATGCCAGCTGCCAAAATTTTTGCATATCCCTTCACCCATTTGTAAAGAAATATCAATTAAATTGATACCAACCAGTAAAACTTCAAACGGGCCAAGAAATAAAAGAAATAATAGGTTTGAGTTTTCGAATTGACTTAGCTCGAGCTGGGCTTGCGCTTATATAAATTTTTTTTTAGGTAACGAATGATTAATTCTACCATTTCATAATACTTTTATTTTATTTATGCACATTACCTAAAAACAACTTAAGAGCTGATTTTCTTGGACTCAATTCGAGCTTAGAAATTCAAATTTTAACTCGAGCCTGCTCAACTTAGAGTTTCTGTTAAAATAAAATGGATGAAACGAATAATTCGAATAAAATGAATAATAATGAACAAATAATTCAAATAAAAACCCAAATAATTTGAATAAACAAGTGGTATTACGAATAGGAACTCTAGCTCAATTCAATAATAATAAAGATTTTTTAAACGTTTTGCATTTCATTCTAATTCTCCGCAAACATCTGAGCAAACATTGTGAAATTTTATACAGGCAAACTCCTTTCAACAAATTATAATTCAATTCGCATTTTTTAAAAAAATATAAAATTCGTATAATTCTGGCTGTAACGAATTCGGCTTGACTGCAGGTGGAAATAGGATCTGAAAAAAATGGAAATTTCTCCTGAATGCTAAAAATTTAGAAAAAAGGAAAATTTTTTGGTGCTAAAATTTAAGAACTTTATTTTATTCTTCTGTTTTATTACTAAGAGCATTACCAAATAAATCAGTAACTTCGAAATCAACCATAATTAATAAGTGCAATGTGCCATTTTCCATTGCATTACATTTGATAATATTCTGTTTGCTAAAACCTCTTTCACAGTCTACACTAGAAAATGGAATTGAGTGCACTATTTCCATGAGTTTTAAAATATACATATGTAAACTCGATAAGTCGGTCACTCGATAAGTCGGTTTTGGCCTAACTCGACCAAAAATTTTCGCCCCGTTTTTTTACTATTTAAAAAAATTCGATAAGTCGGTCAATCTATATAAAGTCGCGATAAG